CCAAAAAAATTGTTCAGGCAGTCTTTGAAAATTGGACATCACAGAACGGAATTTTTAAAAAATGGAATAAGTAAGATTAAACAGAGTTTCTGGTAATGACAATATTTTCTACTTATAGCCAAAAACAAAACAAAAAAGAACGAAATAGTATAATTTCCTTTTAAGAAGCTAAATCAGCATTTAGTACTTAGATGTTATGCAAATAACAACCCCAATTCTACCTACTCAAGTAAAAAAATGAGACATGTTGTTCAGTAATGAATAACTGCTACTTGAAACCTTGAAACTCTTAATGCATCTTTTAAAAAGCAGTCAAAATGGATATTAAAGCAAATTTTAAGTTCACAGATGTTAATTATGGCAATTCTCACATAGTCTCTCTAGTTTAGGCTAAGCCAGACATTGTCCCTTTTCTACCTGCCTCCCCAAAAGGTATGGTATCTACTCCTCAAAACTGCAGCTGGTCTTACAGTGCTTCCCAGTCAAATATATGATCTTTTATCTCTTGCCAGAAGTTGTCCACACAATTTGGGCAGCTAGAATCTTCAAAAGGTGCTAAAACCAACTGCTCCTCTCATCTCATGTCATTTAGGAATAAATATGTCCAAGACTAGACACTCGTTTTTGCTCTTGCTTCAGATCTTGAAGCCAAAACGTTAGTTAAATTTTCTGCAGTGTCAAAGAATAGAGAAAAATTCCTTCAGGAAATCTTGAAAGAAAATCCTCTGCTTGCATTGCTTGAAAATTCCTGGCACAATTCAAATTTTCACCCCATTTTATTATATACTGTATTTTCCGGACTATAAAATGCTCTGGACTGTAAGACTCACTTAGCTTTTGGGAAGGAAAACAAGAAAAAAAATCTGCCTCTGTCTCCCAGCAATTTGCCTCCTTGCAGCAAGCAGCAAACAGCCTGGTCAACTTCAGCACAGCCTGATTTAGTATGAACAGCTGATTGGTGGTTGGATCTGCCTCCCAGAATACCAATTGTTCCAGGCTGTGGGGATCACCACTGCCCATCGCCGCCTATTGCCGCTGCCACCTATCGCTGCCTCTGCATGTCCCATTTTCAGCCTCCATGCATCCCATTTTTGGCCCATTCCAGGTGATGGGGATAGGTGGCGGCAGCAATCCTTGCCACCTGGAACAGGCCAAAAATGGGACACATGGAGGTTGCAGAGGCTGAAAATGGGGTGCATGGAGGCCAAAAATGAGATGTATGAAGGCCGAAAATGGGGTTTGTAGAGGTGGCAATAGGCAGCGATAGGTAGCGATCGGCGGCAATAGGCGGCAGCAGTGATGGGCGGTGACAGTGGCGACGGGCGGTGGTGATCCCCGCAGCTTGGAACAGCTGATAGGTGGTATTCCGGGAGGCAGATCCAACAGCCAATCAGCTGCTTGTGCTAAATCAGGCTGTGCTGAAGCTGACCAGTCTGTTTGTTGTTTGCTGCAAGGAGGCAAATTGCTGGGAAGCAGAGGCCAAAGGGTTGGGCGGGCGGTGGTGAGCAGGGCTTCAGCAACATTCGCTGTATAAGACGCTCAGACATTTCCACCCACTTTTGGGGGGGAAGTACATCTTATACACCGAAAAATACGGGTATATACTCTATATCTAACTTTCTCTATTATCTGTCTATCTATCTATCATCTATCTATCTATCTATCTATCTATCTATCTATCTATCTATCTATCCAGTGGTGGGTTGCTATCAGTTCACCCCGGATCAGGCGAACCGGTAGTGGTGACAGGAGGCTCCGCCCACCTGCCTGCATGCTTCTGTGCATTGTGCGTGCGCACGTGCGCCCACAAACAAGCCGGTAGCGACGGGTTTTGAAACCTGCCCCTGTGTCTATCTATCTATCATCATCATCTGTCTATATCCACGGTATATGTCTATCATCTATCCAACTTCTGACTTCCACCTCACCAGATGAACCAAGCAAAAGAAGCATGAGAGATAATTTGATTGGAAACATTTTTTTGCAACTATGGGTTTTAGCAAAATTAGCTCAGATATAAAAGTTAACAAATTATGAAGATGCAAATTGATGTAGCAAGGGTGGGCTACTAATAAAAATGGACTAAGATGCCTAGAGAGACAGTTTAGTGTAGAGTACTATGGTGGTTAAGTCACCAGACTAGAAAGTGAGAGGCTATAAGTTCTACTTCAGCCTTAGGCATAAGTCCCTCTCTTAGCCTAAGAAGAAAATAAGGACACACCACTTCTGAAAGTCTTGTCAAGAAAACAGACTAGTCCAGGTAGTCACTGCCAATCAAGAATGAGTTGAAGCAAAGAAGAAAGAAGATGAATAGGGAGGAGGAGTGGGAGAGGAAGAAAAGAGGGAGAGGGAGGAGGAGGAGGAGAAAAAAGAAGAAAATAAGGAGAAGAGGTAAGAAGGTAGTGGAGGAGAAGGTGGAGGAAAAGACGGAGACAATGGGGAAGGGAGCGGGAAGGAGGAGAAGAAGAAGAAGAAAAGGAGAAGGAGACGAACATAAGGAGAAGGGGAAGAAGGAGAAAAAGGAGGGAGGAGGAGGAGGAAGCATGGAGTTCTGGGAATTGAACTCCACAAGTCATAAAGTTGCTATAGTTGGCCACTCTCTGATGTAGACAAAAAACCTGGGGGTAGATTACTCCTCTAAATCCAACCACAGATCAAAATATGTAGCATCAAATAGATTAGTTTGCACTAAAAACATTAAAGCAAGCAACATGCAATAAGAAGCATTGCCACGTGGTAAATTATGTGCCTGAACTATCTTTGTTTGGATATCCTGTTTTTCTTTAGTTAAAGAGCCCATGGCAAACACAGAGCACAAAACTGGTTATGTCAGTGGACATTTCCTCACTGATATTAAATGTGGGAGCAAACATGCTCCACAACTGATCCAAAGGAGAGATGAGACCTCATACCTAATTAGTCTCTTGAACTTGTCCTTTGCGTAGAATAGAGTGGTCCTTCCAGTTCAGCCTGTTTCTTAGCACACCCTTCTGACAAGGTAAGCCATATTAGTTTAATTGACCAGGCTCAGGAAAGGCTGCAAGGTATCATTAACTTCACATTGAAGGTGTATTTGGCCTCGTGTCTTCAGCCATGTTCTGCGACATTGATATTGTGCAACTACCTTCATTTTTTTCTATCCCCGGCAGTGATGCCTCTGCTCCACTTTTACTTCATCCACCCTGGTGTGGTAAACAGAACCCGTGACAGCTGTGAACCTTTCTAGTGCTTATGCAGGCCATAATTGTTCTGACTGAACAAGGACTAAGTTGTACCAAGGCAGTCCATCAATCAAATATGCGTCACTGTAAAGGACCGTTCTTTTACTCTAGGGATGTCCAATCTTGTCATGGGTGGCTGGGCAATTCTCAGAGTTGAAGTCCACGTCTTAAAGTTGCCAGGTTGGGCACCCTGTTATACTCAGTTTATCAATTGAAGTTGCAATACATGGAAGAGCCTCGGTGGTGCAGCGGACTAAGTGCTGTTAAGTGCTAGCACTTAGCTGCCAGCTGCCTGCAATTAGTGCGAGTTCAAATCTCACCAGGCTCAAGGTTGACTCAGCCTTCCATCCTTTCGAGGTAGGTAAATTGAGGACCCGGATTGTGGGGGCAATAAGCTGACTTTGTATAGAACAACAACGCTTAGGGGGGCCCAAAAGCCCTAATAAGTAGGTATATACATAAAAGTATTCAGGCTATTGCTATAATGCATAGTAAGCCGCCCTGAGTTACGGAGAAGGGCGGCATATAAATTGGACTAATAAATAAATAAATAAAAAATAAATAAAAATAAACAAGCTTTGATATGTGTATTTTGAAGACTCTAAAGTAAGTTTGCTAGTTTTTTTTTGTTTCAAGGTTTCTTTTGTTATTTACTGCTTCTTGTTACAATGCCAGCATCTAAACGCTATTGTTCATAGATCTGTCTTCATCAATTAAGCCACTCAAGGAGCCTGAGTGGCGTAGGAGGCTAATGCCTCCTAAGGCAGCATTTAACATCCAGCTGCCTGCAATTACTGTGAGTTCAATTCTCACCAGGTTCAAGGTCGACTCAGCCTTCCATCCTTTCTAAGGTGGGTAAATTGAGGACCCAGTTTGTGGGGGCAATAAGCTGACTTTGTATAAATATACAAAAGTATGAAGGCTATTGCTTAACGCATTGTAAGCTGCCCTGAGTCTCCGGAGAAGCGGCATATAAATCAAATTTAAATATGTGTGTGTGTGTGTGTGTGTGTGTGTGTGTGTGTGTGTGTGTGTTCACACAGCATATTAGATCACAGCAGTCAAGATGTTAGGTTCTAGTGCAATATATGAATACAAATTCATAATTTGTTAATGGTAAATTCTGAGGTGCATAAGCAGTACTCGTAACCATGGCTTGCTGATAGCACAACGCACAAACTATGGCATAGTACTGTCTCCAAATGTAACTTCATAGCTTGTTGATTACTCTCTTCTTGAACTGGCAGAGAATGAAAATATGCAGAAAGAAAAAGTATTTATCAAAGTGGCATCTTCAGTACTGTTCCACTCTGGTGCTTTTGCCAATATGAATCCTTCACCGCTGATTTTATTTTAAAAACGAAGAAAGTATGAAAAAACATTCTTCTGCCGACTAACTAGTTTGTTTGTTTGTTTTGAAAAGTTTTCCAGCTTTATTTCTTATACACATAACATAAAATGTACATTTTCTTATACATAATTAATCCTACATATACATGTTTTCCTTAAAGAAAGCATTAAAATAAGGCATTTTAATTAATTGCTCTTCTACCCTTTCTTTCCTCATTTCGCAACAACCCTTCTTTTTCTTCTCCTCTTTCCCTTCCCTCTCTCCTCTCCTCTCCTACGTTCTCCTTCCTCCTCTCCTACCTCATCCTACTTCCCCTTCCTTTCCCCCACTCCTCTCTTATTTTCCCCCTTCTCACCTTCTCTCCTACTTGTCCCCTACCCTTCCTTCCTCTCCTTTTCCCTTTCTTCTATTCCTCTCCCTCCCTCCCTCTCCTCTTCCTACCCTCTACTCCTATCTCCTTTCTATCTTCTTTGCTGTGAAATATTCTTTTTGTTTGGTATCCGAGTAACTCCTGTATTCTAATAGTATATACTTTCTTTCAATTTCTTTTCAGATTTATTCTATCTATCAGTATTATCATCATAATTGTACATTTATTCTTATTATCTTCTTTCTTTTTCTCCCCTTCCATCCCCCTTTTTCATTTACTCTGGTGTCATCTGGGTTTCTATTTCTTTTTTATCCTCTACCTCGTTTAACTTTCTATTATCTAAATCATTTATCTATCTTCTTAGCTTCATATTTCTTTTCTAGCCATATATAAAATCTTCCCCATGTCTTGAAATACACCGATTCCTCTTTATCTCTTGTTCTTAAAGTTAATCTATTCATTTCCGCACAGTCTAAAATCTTTTTTATTACTTCACCTTCTGATGGAATTTTTTCTGTCTTCCAATTTTGTGCAAATACAATTCTTGCTGCTGTTATTATATGTATAGTTAAATACACATCTTCTTTACTATATCTCTCTAGGAGAATACCCAATAAAAAAAACCTCTGGTTTTAATTCTATAGATTTATGTAATATTTCTTCCAACCATTTCTGTATTGGTATCTAGACCTATAATTTTTTGCTTCTAAACATGACCACCACATATGATAGTATGATCCCGGCAAATGCAAACATTTCCAACATTTGGCTGATTTATCCTTAAACATCTTTGCTAATCTTTCTGGTGGCATAAAAAATATGGAACGCTCTCACGAATTTGCGTATCATCCTTGCACAGGGGCCATGCTAATCTTCTCTGTATCGTTCCAATTTTAGTATATGTGCTGCTGAAGCGAGCACCCGACTAGTTAGTTTGGAGTTAAGTCATTGACATCTTAAAAATGATAGTAAATGCTGTAAATTTTATTCAGGAAACAGAAACTACCAAAACTGGCACAACAATGAAAGATGACCAAAGAAAATCAGACTCTAGTAAGGGTTTTTGTTTGAACCTACACTCTGGTGATAAGTAGTGTGTTATACTTATTTCTCCACCCTTATTGCATCATGAGAATGTGCTCAAGCAGCCTTTTAAAAAGTGACTCATTCCCTTTTAATGAATAAGAGGCCAATAAATCTATTTGTGGGGTATTGTGGGGGCAGAATTTTGCTGATAAAAATCACTCAGATTCACTTTTTTCCTGAACTCTGCATGGGTAGGATCAGAAGAAGCGAGGAGGGCAGTCACATTACCTGGGATTGATTTGGCTTCTTGGTTTTCAGGTGTTTTGTGGGAAGAGTTCTGTGATATGTGTGCTTATCCCAGACACCACTTGGCGTCTCTGGAAAACAAAGGCATAAGGAGGGGGTGTCAGTTTGGGGGGGGGGCTCTTCATACCATTTTGAAGGTGGCAATGGTACACCCCTCCTGAAAAATCCCTCTGATAACTTGACAGATTTAAACAACTATCACCCAGTTTCCACAGAGAACAGTTAGATTACAACTACAAAGACTCTGGGAAGATTGATTATCTAGATCCCTTTCAACCAGTATTCATACCTGGGGATGAAAAATACACTGATCACCCTGGGAGACGATATTTTCCAGGGCATGGATGAGGAAGTTCCTACTCCTGGTCCTTTTAGACTCTTCAGTGGTTTCCGGTCTAGCAACCATGGTGTTTATTTGAGTGGTTGCCAAATCAGGATTGGAGAAACACTACAATGTCCTCGACTTACGACAGTACATTTAGTAACTGTTCAAAGTTGCAACGGCATCAAAAAAGTGACTTATGACTGTTTTTCACACTTACAACCATTGCAGTATCCCCGTAGTCATGTGATCGGAATTTGGATGCTTGGCAACTGACTCATATTTATAAGTCAATGGGGAAGCCGTATTCACTTAACAACCAAGTTCCTAACTTGACAACTGCAGTGATTCACTTAACTGTGGCATAAAAGGTCGTAAAATGGGGCAAAATTCACTTAACAAATGTTTTGCTTAGCAACAAAAATTTTGGGCTCAATTGTGGTCATAAGTCAAGGACTGTCTGTATATTGCAATAGTTGCTGGTGTTATTTTTACCTTTGTTGTTGATGTAAAGTAGTGGGAGTTTTTTGGTGACTGGGTTCACATCTCTGTCCTTGGATGCAGGAGGTTGTACGTTGTGAGCTTTGTGCTTTTAATAGGCTATGGTGCAGCAAGAAGGTAGATTGGACTTCCCAATCCCATCTACAGTATCTCTGCATCTATCTTCTCTGCACCACAAACTTGTCTAATAATTTTGAGGAGCTGCTGAGGAAAGATGAAGGGAGATGAAGAAGGCCAATTAATGATTGAATTAAAACTCTCTTCAGATGGTTTAAGTCTTAAGTATCAAAAATATCCCAGCCTTTCAGGAGCCGTGCTGAGTCTTCGGAGAGGGGCGGCATACAAATTGAATTAATAATAAATAAATAATTGATTGAAGTTTATTCCAACTGATATGAACTCATCTGGCCAGGATGCTTAGGGAGATGGCTTACTCAATGTACTGGATAAGAATCAAGCCTTTTCCTAAGACACAGGAACAGGCTAAGATGCAGAAATCAATGACTGGACTGGGAAGATGTTGCAGTGATGTCATAGAATGCTTGGAGTGTAAATGAAACGTCTCTGGATAATCCATGTAAATATTTGAAGAAGGAGGATATCTCTAACAACACATTACTAAATTCAAAATGCTGGGATTCTGTGGACATGCATTTTACATTACAATCAGTTCAATGAGTAAATGTTGAAGTATGTGATGTGTTTTTTTTTTTTTTAAGTTTCATTATCTGATGTGTCATTTAAAAAAAACATTATGGTATGGTAGGAAACTTTTATATAACTACACACCCATTTTTATATTTTGGAACACTGCATTCCTAAATTGTGTTTATCCTTCATATGTATTCTGACCTAATGGATCATGTACTAAATTAAGCATATTGTGCAATACAAATGCAGAGGAACAAGTGACATCTCATACTAAAATTGCTGCAGTGTCTTAAAACTTTCTGTTATTGGGCAGAAGAAAACTAGAATAAATAAAACTAATATAAAACAGTTAGCATCCTATCTTCCATATTTACTCTGTAATTTTTCCTTCTCAGTATATATAACAAAACCTATATAACATTTCAGAAGAAAAACAAGAAAAAGAACTCCATTATCTTAATACAAAATGGCGCTCTTCAGACTCCAAGTTTAAAATGTCCTTGATGGGGATCCAGCAAATGATCTCATCAGGTCTTCAGTAGAAGAATGGAACATTCTATAGAAGAAAAAAATATGAATATAATGTGTGCATATTCTCCTAAAAGAATATGGATGCATTTATAGCAGGGGTGAAATCCAGCAGGTTCTGACAAGTTCTGGAGAACCAGTAGCGGAAATTTTGAGCAGTTCAGAGAACTGGCAAATACCACCTCTGGCTGTCCCCAGAGTGGGGTGAGAATGGAGATTTTGCAATATCCTCCCACCAGGAATGGGGAGGGAATAGGGATTTTGCAGTATCCTTCCCCTGGAGTGGGGTGGGAATGGAGATTTTGCAATATCCTTCCCCTGCCATGCCCACCAAGCCACACCACGCTCACCAAGCCACGCCCACAGAACCAGTAGTAAAAAAAATTGGATTTCACCACTGATTTATAGGAACATGTCTAAGATATCTTTGTTATCCCTGTGGAATCCTCTTGAAGCTGAGGGCTGTTAGTATAAAGACAAAGAGATAACCTGAATTATATCCATAAGGCATTTAAACTGCAAAAGTATAGTTTCAGGGGAGATGCAGATAGGGGCTCTCCCTGAAACCTCCAAGTCTGGCTCTTTTTTTGACATCAGAACTCCAAATGCCAGAGAAAGGAGAAAGAAGAGAAATGGTCGGGTGGGCCAGAGCAGCAGGCATTGTTCCCCTGCTTCCCTAGGCAAGTCTTGCCTCCAAATCAAGCGTGAATCAGGCAGAGATCAATTCTTTCCAGATTGTATCTACTTTCTGAACCTTATTGAGGTTCTTCTCCTTACAGCAGTTGCTGATTAGAGATCAGTTATGGTGAGACCAACTTAGGGGGAAGATCTAGGAAAGTTGCACATTTTTAAGCTATGTCCATCAGAGGCCAAGGGGTCAGAGGTGGGTTTCAGCAGGTTCTGACCAGTTCTGGAGAACCGGTAGCGGAAATTTTGAGTAGTTCAGAGAACCGGTAGTAAAAATTCTGACTCTAGTCTCTGCCTCCCGAGTCCCAGCTGATCGGGAGGAAATGGGGATTTTGCAGTAACTTTCCCCTGGATTGGGGATGGAATGGAGATTTTACAGTATCCTTCCCTTGCCACGCCCACCAAGCCACACCCACCAAGCCATGCCACGCCCACCAAGCCACACCCATAGAACCAGTAGTAAAAAAAATTGAAAACCACCACTCCAAGGGGTATATGTCCTTTGGCTTGGACTTTTTTCTATTTACCATCACAAAGCCTGACAGTCTATCTCTACTTCTACTCATCCCAGCACAAAGTCTGTTTGTTGGGGCACTCCCTAGTAGTTTATGTTAGGTGTGATTCATGTGCAGCGTGTCTGCCCCCTAATATTTAAGTTGGCAGGCTTATTTGTCTTTCCCTCATCTGCAGTATTGTATAATTTCTCCTAACTTTTCTTTTTAAAAAAGAAGAAGTTGTGGCTTAAGGCTGCCAAGCCAATAAAGGAAACCTCTCCTTTATTCCATGGAAGATGACTCATTAAAAATGAAAGCACCGAGATTTTACTGGCCAAGGAAGGAAAAGAACAAAAAACACTTCCATTATTTTGTTCTTTCTTTAGAACTTGGCAAAATTGGTTCTCTGTTTTAGGTTTAGCATAATACGGAATTTAGAGCTTAGAGTTACAAAAAAAAAAAACTTTTTTTTTTTTTTTTTGCAGATTACAACATTTTCAGCATAATAATTATGAAAGCTATATCCATGCTGGGCAAAGAATAAATCAAAATAAAAGAGAACTGGCTGTATATGTCTTGTTGCTTGAGCCTTAAAGTCCTGCAATATAAGATTCTTTGGTCTTTCCAGAGAAAGATTTTAATTAGTATCTAATTTTTAGGTATTACATAAGCATGTCTCAGCTGCTCTGTTTTTCACTCAAAGGAAACTTGACTCCTGATGACTTTTTCGCTGTTTAGGAATGGGATGGACTGATTTCCTAGTCTATGCTCTTAAGAAGCATTTCTTTTCAACATTAGCCCTGCTGGCTTTTCTCCAAATAGTTTACTCATCTGTTAACTAAAAGTCCAAATAAAGACCTTGGCACCAAATATGTCCCATTTAACAGTAACAGTTACCAGTTTAAACCTTTTAACCCTTCTGTGGCTCATCTATATTCCGGAAACATAGAACTTGATTTTTCTAACAGCCTTGTTTTACATTAGAACGCAAGTAGGCTGCACTGAAGATGGACTACGAAGATTACAGTGGCACCTATCCAGCATGGACCCATATCAACTTCTATCTATCTATGGATTTTAGCTATTAAAATCCATCCAACTTTTAAAGAAGTAAATATTTGTAATTTGGTCTCTCTCTCTCTTGGCTAATATGCTTGAGCCATCCCACAACTTCCTTGTCGTAGACCTAGAGTCATGATCCCTGTGTAGCATGACACAGATGTGGCAACCTACATAGAACACCTCACCTTGAATATTTTTCTTAATCTATTAGTTAGGAATCCAGTTATAACCCTGTTTCTTATTCATGGAAAAGTCTACCTTCTTTCATTCTTTCTTTGTCCACTAATGTAATCAACTTACTAGTTCTTACTATTTTAGTTTTCTAACAACCAACTTTCAACGTACTAGAAACATGTTTAGAAACATAAACACGCAAAAAAGTGTTGAGTTAAAAATGGGGAAGAATGGAATGAAATGGCAACGATTGTATTGCAAACAACGAAAAATAAGATTCGCACAAGATTGGCATACACAAAATGAACACCTCAGTCTCAAGATGAACTACATACATTTTGGCACCAAATAAAATAACAAGCCCCACTAAGAAAACAATTACACTCCATCTGATTTTTGTGAATTACAGCTGACATATACATAAGTATGAAATATTAGCAATAAAACCAGACAAACTATCACATCACGTTTCTGGGACCATTCAGTAAGGTGCTATTTCCTTCCCACCAGTTCAATCAACATACAAACCTGATAGCTCACTAAAGGTTGTAATTAAATAATCCAGTTTCTTTTAATCATGATCATGATCTATTTTTCTTTGTATCATATCCTTTTCAACATGTGGACATTCTCACACAGAGACATTAATTCTTATTGTGTCAGCCACAAAAAATTGCAATCCAAGAAAGAAATTTAATAATGGATTCATACATCCAGTATTATATAAGGAGACCATGGCACCCATAAATCTATCCCCTTCAGACAAAATTTAGATGAGTGAAGGTGTATAGAGGGATAACTATTATAGACAGGGGAAGCTTTCAGTTAATGGATGGATAAGCCTTCAAGATGGATGAAGTGCACTTTCAGAAGACCTGAAAGACAGGTTAGGGACAGATTGTCATGGAGAAAATCTATCTATATGGTCACTAGGAGTCAATGTCAATAATAGCTCATAGTCTAATCAATCAGTCTAAACCAATTGAATTTAATGTGACTTAATCCAAATATAAGATTCCACTGTAAATCTCCCAATTCAATGTAAATTTTGAAATTTTGTTTTCAGCTGAGATGTAATTCAACCCATTTACATTCTGTTCCTTTGGGGGCTGGGTGTGTATTTTTAAAATTTTCTTATATTATCTCATTTCAGCCAAGTTGACTGGGATTGAGGACCCAGATTGTTGGGGACAATATGCTAACTCTGTAAACCACTTAGAGAGGCCTGAAAAGCACTGTGAAGCAGTATATAAGTCTAAGTGCTATCGCTATTGCTATTGAAGGTAAAGAAAGACTAAGATCTGATAAGTAATTGAAAGGGACACCACTAGACCATACTAGTCTGTAATCAACAGGAATGTGGCCCTGAAATCAAGTCCTAATAGGTGACTCTAGCTAGGTAATCTCAACTAAAAAAAACCCAGCATATTTATGTTTCTGTAGGAGACAAGCTTATTTTTGAAATTTTGCATTTATATTAGCCTGAGTGGCGTAGGAGGCTAATGCCTCCTAAGGCAGCATTTAACATCCAACTGCCTGCAATTACTGCGAGTTCAATTCTCCCCAGGCTCAAGGTTGACTCAGCCTTCCATCCTTTCTAAGGTGGGTAAATTGAGGACCCAGTTTCTGGGGGCAATAAGCTGACTTTGTATAAATATACAAAAATATGAAGGCTATTGCTTAACGCATTGTAAGCCGCCCTGAGTCTCCGGAGAAGGGCGGCATATAAATCAAATTAAAAAAAAAATTGAGTGTAGCCTCAAATCTAACTAAAGTTTTTCATTTTTTTCTTCTTCTTTATTTTATCTTATACATCCAACAAACATTAAATCTATAGCGGTCTACATCACAACGTGAGAAGGGAATAAAATTATCCCATTGCATATATAGGGTAACCTACAAAAGTCTATTACATATACCAAGTGACATGCTTATCAAATATCTCTATTTGCAGCTCGATTTGACATCCAATTATACCATTGACTCCAAGATATATAGTAATCTGTGTCCCCTCGTCCTTTCAGTATCATAGTAAACCGATCTGATTCCGCACAATTCATTATTTTCTGAATTACTACTTGTTCGGGTGGGCTAACATCCATCTTCCAGTATTGGGCCCATGCCAATCTTGCAGCTGTTGTTATATGTAGCAACAGGTACCATGTTGTTCTATTAACATTTTCGGGTCTTATCCCTAATAAAAATACCTCAGGACACAATTGTATACGCTGCTCCACCATCTCATTAAGCCACTTCTGAATATTCTTCCAAAATTTCATTGCCTCTTGACAGGTCCACCATTGGTGGAAATATGTGCCTTCTTTAAAGTTTTTCATTGTTGAAATCTATAGATGAGCGACCTACCTAACTGGTATCAGATTTCACTTCTTTTGATGTAGGGTTAATAAAGAATAGCATTAAAATTTGGTGATATTGTCCTAGCCATTGTCCTCAAGCCTGACTGACATTCACAGTCTCTCAGGTAGGTTGACTCAGACAGATCAAACACTCCTCCTCTCTTGGGCATGGGCTTTTACATCTAAGGTAGATGTTCCCAATCTCTCCATCCAACAGGAACAGATGGGTTGGAACTCTAAGCATTTTGCAACAG